GCTGAGGCTTCCACTCAATCAACGACTTTTACATTTTTAAAATTGACATATTTTTTATTTTCTTTACTTGTTCTACTTCAATAACATTGAAATTTAATAATATTACATGATTTGCCTAAAATTTCCACCTGATTAAAAATTGGACAATTAAATTAAGAAGTACAGCTACCGAAAACGATTTCCGGCCCACTTGGCATCCACACATGCAACAATTAAATTTGCATTGTGCAATTTAAGTGGTGTGAATATTTCTTGTCTGCTCAACATTGAGAGTCTATAAGCTTCAGATTTCAAATCCTGACGAACACAGTGACATAATGATATAAGATAGAATAGAATAATTCGGATACCAGTATTTGAACTCGATTCGATCGAAAATCATAATTTAAAACCTGCTTTCTTGCAGTTTATCTCAGTCTTTGAATTTTTGTGAAACCTGTCACTTTGCTCAGCACAAGGAAAAATTCTGATATTTCGAATTCCACTGTACAGATTTTGAAACAACATAATTAAATTAAAGTTAGGAATTCCAAAAATATGGACAGATCTTTCAGGGATCTATAACATTATTATACTGCATAATGAGTAGGTGGTCCACTCTTTCCATGTAGAAAACTTTAATTTTGTGTGCATGCCAAGTGGGTCGGAAATCGTTCTGAGTAGCTGTACATAGCCATGGAACAGGCAGCATGGGCGTAGACAACGAGAAGCTCCGCCCTTCGATTCCTCTCTACCAAGTGCATTCTCTCTCTCTTCAGCATACACCCACCGCGAACGGTAGGGTGCTCGAGCAGTCAGGACTCAGGGGAATAACACATGGATATGGACTCGTCGACGTCGACGGCGATCACCGAAATCGGCGTTCTTTTCTCCTCTCAGTGCCACTTGGACTGCATCCGGAAACGCGTCGATGTCGAATCGTGTATGTCACGCGACCAAGTATATCACCCCAACCCGAGCAGATCATTTTGTTCATTCAGCAATTTTAGTGTACTTCGAACGATTGAAATTCCCTTTCGAATTTGATCAAAATTGTGTTGCATAAGGTTCTATCAATAGAGATATTGAATCACGAATTGAACAATATAGATCAATATCATTTACCAGGACTTGAAAGTGGTTGATACAAGGAAGGAAAAGAAGAAAATGTGAATAAAGTTTCTTCCTCTATAAGTGAAAGTATAGTATAACAACTATATGAAATTGTAACTGTTATTAAATACACATACTGATACTGAAAAGTAATAAGAGTTCAAGTGTTTAAGAAATTTATGTAGAAGATTGGGTCAAATTTTACAGTAAGAACGACAAAGTTTGTTCGTTAAGTGACATTAGTGAAATATTGTTTGGTGACAGTTCGCGAAAGGAGATTACCATGATGCTCGGCGGTTATGAGGCTCAACCGGATTACTATCCACAGTGGCATCAACCATATAATTACATTACGCAGTTACCTTATGGTAAGTAATGTGTTTCACTTATTTAATTTTTGTACTTTTTATACGAAACAATTGTTTTACATAAATGTGCGCATGAACAAGTTCGTTATTACCAATTTGTAGATTTATCAATCTATGATTTAATTACATTTGGAATATTAGTTATTTATGTATCTTTAATTTGACTTGTAATTATCTACTCATGCATTTTTAATTTATAATGTCTTAAATCTTTATGAAAAGTAGATAAGCAACAAAAATACAGAATGTACATACGTTAAACATTTTTTTACTCTTTTTACATTCCGTGCATGAAAGAATGAAAATTAGAAACATTATTAAATAGTAATAAAAAAGAGATGTATTCAAATATCAATAATTAATCTATAAATCCATTTATTAATGAACATAAAAACAAAGACAATAATTCGCCAACATGTTACGTATCTCATTAAGTTTTCAAAAATTAAGAGTAAAATAGATTTGACTGAAGAAGAATAGCTCTATTGTTTTGAGCCAAACGAAGAGGTAAAATTCATAGTGGTGTAAGTCATTTTTCGAAATTAAAAAATCCTGGGAAAGATACAGTTATTCTGTTAACATGCTTACATTGTGCTGTAATCGATTTGGAAGGGAGGTGAGTTACAACTTATACATTTCACGTTTTCTTTAAATGTATTAGCATTCGTAGTTGAAGAAAGCAATACAGGTCGCAACTTGGCTGAGAAGTGACTCGCACAATTATGGCTTTTACCTCTTTGAATTTTGTAATAAAAAGAACCAAGACACAGAACTGAAGAGATCTCCATTTCTGTATCGCAGGTCCAGGAAATGTTCCTGACGCGGACAGCCAATCGACGTATTGGGGTGCGGATTCCGGTATCTCCGGGGGTAGTTCCGGCGCCGGCAGTCCAACCGCCTCAACGCCACCCTTAATCGAAGAGATTGGCGTCCAGGAGCACGGCTACTCCCCCTTGCAACAGTACTCTCATCCCTCGATAAACCAACACTATAACCATTTGGTTTACCCGCAACAAGATCTCTCCCTAAATCCGAACCATCATCACCATCAACAGCAGCAGCAGGACCACAGAAGGGATGATTACGCTGCTGTCTCGTCGATGAGTCAACCCGACGGACACCTACCGCTACACCTGAGACAAGGAGCTAGGGACGGCGGTGTGGTTATCAGACCCAAGAGGAGAAACACGGCGAATAAGAAGGAGAGAAGACGGACGCAGAGCATCAACAACGCGTTCGCTGATCTCAGGGATTGCATACCGAACGTCCCGGCGGATACCAAGTTGTCGAAGATTAAGACGCTCAGGCTGGCGGCTTCTTATATTGGGTATTTGATGGCAGTGCTAGAGAGCGATGAGGGCGAAGAACCGCAGACTTTCCGTGCCGAAATCCTGTCGACCGGGAGAAGGAACAAGACGGCTCAGGCAAATCAAGTTAGTATCATTTAAGGAGCTAGGGTAAGTCACATGACTTTCCTAACTCTTTTGGAAAATGTTTATTACCGATAATCCGGCAAAAATAGTATACTTATAAAGGACATCTAAATTAACATACATATATTATAGGCTTTAAACAAAAGGAAACGAATTTTTATGCGTACGTCTTTAAGAACTTGGCTAGAAAATAATCTGAGAAATTTTTATATAATACCAAAAATTAGATCCAAGCCTTCGGAAAATATAAATATGTCTTTGCAACGATGAATGCAAAAGGATTTAGTTTATATTTTATAATTTTTTCTCATGTATAATGATTTATACAAGTAATTCTCTAATACTCTAATCTATTTAGATAAACACATCATAAGTTCAATCACAACATGAATCAACAATTCATTATAGTGTTGTATATTGTCTTCCTTCAATTTGCCAGTAATAACTTAAAAATGATCGGTAATAAACATCTGATTAATTGCCTTATATATCAGAGGATGAGAAGATAGACGTTAAAGAGAACGCGGGTAACTGCTTCGAAGAGAAAATTTATATCTACTTCTCGTGCTTTAAATCTCCCGGAACACTTTCGTAAGCGTTGCCATTGAGTAAACATCGCCTGCCTTTTAATTGACCGTACGTTCGTCGACGCTTAAGAACTCGACCTTAAACTCGTCATCGTACTTCGAACTGGAAGGAAAAAGTTCACGTGCCCTCGAAATTCATACTTCAGAAGCTTGTCAATTATTCTTAACGAGCTTTGCTCTAGAAACCCATCCTTTATATTTATCATTGTGTTGTAACAGAGTAATTTTCGGCGTTAAAATGTAAAAAATTCTCTATGGATCTGATGACGGATGAAATTAAAATATTGAAGTACGAGCCTATGAATTAGCGAAACAGATTGGTTGTTTAGTCTAAACTATTATTGTCAGAGATGTCAAACGATATTAGCAAATGAATCAAACGTGGAATTTACTTCTGTAGCTTATTTAAATAATCTATCTCTCGTTAATTCAATTGACAATATTGGTGTGATAATTACATAATGATGGTAATGTTGATTTAATTAATCTTTATTTACTTGATGAGATTTGCATATTATTATTGTAGCATTTTAGAAGAGAATATTTCATAAAAAACAGTGTATCATCGAAAATCATACTCATAGCAAATAAAGAGTAAAAGATTACGGTCAGATGGGGTACCGACAAATCTTCGCCTATTATAGTTCAAATTGTTTCACTAATTTTCTAATAGACAATCTGAAATATTTTTGGTATTAGACTGTGATCTTGTGGTTTCCTTGATTACTCGCCACCCATATAGAACTTTCTTCCCTAAGAAGGTCATCAACCTTTAGAAGCATATCAAATATTATTTAAAATAGTCAAATCGTTAAATTAGAAGATTGTACATTACTTAATGTAAACTCGTAAAGTATTCGTTTAAAATTATGTAACAAAATACAATTTACTAGTTTGATTTGTTCAAACAAAAATAGTTATAAATATATTTTATTTTATGTTTCTATGGATTTAGTAAACAAATATACTATAGATTTGCTTAGATTTTATCCACGAATTGTTATATTATTATCTTTTTTCTTGCTGTAACGTACATATAAATTATTGATAAAATAATGGAATGAGATTATAACTAAACTAATAGAATAATGATGGATGAAATAATAAAAAAATAATAGAACAAAGCTGTTTGCGGTTACAGAACGAATCGTGTTTGCACCAGTCGTCAGGTATCTCGGAAGAATCGCCGAAGAGCAAGGGACGAACCGGATGGCCGCAACACATGTGGGCCCTTGAATTGAAGCAAGAGTCACCTACGAACCAGATGCAATGAATCCCTAGCTAGATCTATTTCCGACTAACCGCGCCTTCTGTTTCATCGTTATTATCGAGAATTGGATCAAACCGCGACGGTGGATCGACGTTGGTGGCTGGATAGCAAGATTCGGGCTAACATTTGATTACTCTCGACTTTTCCTGGCCACCGAAATCGTAATTACTCTGTCGCTGGTAGACTAACAGCATTGAACATCCACGATATTCGCGAGCCACTGTTAATACAACTATAAGACTAATTTATTTACATAATAATATAAGGATGATTAGAGCAAATTTCAGATAAGTAGAATAAACGAATAATGTTGTGAGACATTGAAAACTTTTGCAATTTTGCATCGTTTAGATTCCTTCTTTTGTATTGTGTTCCGAAACTCTTCATTGCTTCGCCGCAAGCAAGAAACGATTAATCATTTCAGTTACAATTAGAATGATTGGAAGCATTAATAAGTATGTTGTAAAATATAAGCGATCGTTTGTACATACGCGCCTGTTAGTATACTTTACGTCTGTAAATAGAGTCGGCTTATATCTTAGTTGATAATAAATTACATTAGCCTCCTTCTCCCCTTCCGTGTGTTCACTTTTAGTTTACAGTAAAGGAAGATTATGAATTGACAAGACTAAAAATGAATGCAGAGTCAGTATTGGATACCATCGATTATCCTTTTCTAAGTACCAGTTTTAACAATTTTCTTAAGATTATTTGATAACAATATATTTACATAGATGAAGCTTCGATAAATGGAAATGGAGAAGAGTGCTGTAATGAATGTATATCAAGTAAGTTCTGTGTGCACTTCCGTGGTAGTGTCTACTTAGGGTCAAATATTCACCCAGTGCAATAATACTTTACTGAACTTTCATTACATTTTTATCTAATGATAAATGATGCAATTTTTTCATTGTATCCTGTTATACCTATATGGACCTAGACTAATTTAAGATGCTTGTAAACTTTTGTATAAATAATGTATAAAAAATCACTAGCAATAAAGAAAATATAATAGCAATTTAACTTGTGATTCTTTCTATTTTCAGCTATTTCCTTACTGTGCTATTTAATTTATACTCTTATTTCAATACTGCCAAACTATTGTCGCAACAAGTAATGATGCCAAGTGGTTAAATTTGCCTAATTCTTTTATGAAAATGATATCGTTCAAAACAAGCAATTAAGAACAAGAGGAGCCCGCGACACATGCTGAGGACAGTTCTTCACGAACGATTTAAGTACCCGCTGCCACATACGCACAGCGTTGCTATATGGAGGGAATTTCTCCTCTTCCCATTCTGTCCCGACTACTGTATACTCTCCCCACTTTTCAGAAAGTTGAAGTTGTGGATCGCACAATACGCCGACAACAGACGACACGAACACGTGAGACGTGACACGGCAGGCCCCGGTAGTAGACGAATGTCCATAGGTAGACGTAAGTGGGGAAAGCATACTGATTGTGAGCATACAGTAGTGGAGACAGAACGGGAAGAGGAGAAATCCTTCCATTATAGCAATGCTGCATACGCGGACCTGCGATACTTGTCAAAGCAAACAAACGTTTGCTTCATACTTTTTTATCCGGTACTCATACTACACATATTGGATACGCGTGTCGCACTGACGACGTTTATGTGGACGCACACGCGTACACGATTGTTCTTACGTGATACTGCCTTCAAAATGTTCCCACACGAGAAAGCCGTTCTCGTTTTGGACCAATGTTCGTTCATACAAGGAACATAGCAAATTAAAAAAAAGAATGGCTTTTACTCCCTTAAATATGTTATTAAATCAAGATATAATAATAGACCTTTGGTTTGTCAAAATGTTTTTAGTAAATCTGTACTACTTCTGCTAAATCTCAACTTGCACCCAATTTCTTTAATTAGCTGATTGACTGCATTGTCTGGATACGATCTCTTGTGAAGAATGGATCGTGAAATAGATTTATATCTACAATCCTCCAATCATTACGGTCCACGCATCAATCGTTATCTGACGTTCGAAGAACAATTCGTTTCTGGTTGACCTCAATTCATTTTCCTCCTGCCTGATCCTTAAACTGATTTCTAAATTATGTTTGGTTCACTTAAGTTCATAATGGTGCTTCAATTTATATAGTATTTCAGCTGATAGTGTATCAATTTATGGATTATGACACGTTTAAAATGATATCGTACAAAGTGTATATATTTTTAGGACAGATAAGAAGAAGCAAAAGGGTTTGGTTGTTGAAATTTGGCGAACTCTGGTATATAACGGTGGCACGGGCTAAAGTTTTGATAAGAAAGCAACGATCTCTTCCCTGTTACCGAGAATAACCGAGTTTTCCTTACGTAGACCCGGAGTGTTTATATCGCCGGCGTTCTGCACTTCGTCAACCGAAGAGTTTACCAAGCAGTATGTACATACATACATACATATACACCGATTCACCTTCTCGTGTTTTAACACCTTCCACCGACCGAGCCAGCACGCGCCTCGTTTCCCCTACTTTCTCCCATCTTTCTATCTTATCATGAATGTCTTTACGCAAGTAAAATCTAAATTATACGTAAATTATGCTTTTCCATAAAATGAAACATGTATAAGACCATTTTCGCTAAGCTCCGATTAATTTAAATTAGGTTTGGAAAATATAAGTCTACCTTTAAAAGATTTGAAATATTTATTTAATTTGTATAATTGTACAATTGGTCTAATTATTGTTTGTGGAAAATGTAATTAAAATTTCGGTATTGGCAACGCTCAATCATTAATTGAATTAATCGGAGCTTGGTGAAAGCGACTTTTATTCGGAAAGAATTTAGCGTCATCTCGACGTAGATCAATTCGAAACCTCAAATAATAAACAAACGAGTTATCGGTCGAGACTAAATATTTGCGACGCCTATCGAAGACGACTCTATTCATCAACGACGAACCGATGTTTAAACGATTTGATAATAAATGATACGCATTGACGACATTGTTTGTCGAATTCCTAAGTTGGAAACCAGTTAGGTGTGAAAACGTTTTACACTTAATATCAGTTCTCATAGCCAAAAGAAACAATTTAGGTATGTAAGAATAGGCAATAGTATTGAAAAGAAAGAATCTTTGACTAGATGTATCAAGAACAAGGATGGATCAAGTACTGGCCACTGGCGCCAAAGTATCCAGGAAATCCGAGACCGTCTCCGTTGAACAATGTATTCACAGCGTGGTATCCGGGAAAACAGATTTCCCACGTAAAGCTCGGGACAGTATCATCTGTTTGCGAAGTGGATCGTGTATTTATTTATTTATTCCGTTTTATTTGATCCTGTTACAGGGTGCCAAAAAGGCTCTTAGAAAATATCTGTATATATTCTCCTGTTTAAATCGATTTTGAATAGATATTATATGTACAATTATTGTATATATGTAAATATTTAAAATCAATTAAATTCAAGTTGTAGCTATATCGTGAGAATTATTTCTATTTAAAGTCAAATCGGGTTACCATGACTTATCTCACCAATTATTTTATCGACAATCATTCTACCGACTAGATTTCGTCGATACTGAAATTCGACGATATTAACTTGATCGGTTATTATCAATGAAATGATCGTCAATGAAGTAAAGGTAATCCATTCAAATTAACTGACAAATACTATTATTGACTTTAACTCTGCTGGGCTGCAAAACAACTATTCCTGTTCGAAAACTTATGAGATGCTAAATCCGCACACACTAAGCAGAGAAGGCATAATCCATCTTCGAAGAGAACAGCATTGTTTACGTAAAACGCAGAGTAGCAAAGAGTAAGCAATTTGAACAAGATTTGTAGCGTTTTCCCATTCGCCACTGTATCTATTCAGTACATATTCATGCTTACAGATATTAATATAATCTGAATTAGTAAAAAAACTTATTGTACCCTTATTCATAGTTTGATAATCTTCTTAAAGTTCAGTATAAAAGTCTCATGCATGTTTTTCAAGAAATATTCGAATGTTCGATGTTTCATGATTAAAGACATTATGGAAATTCTACGTGATTTGTTTAAACTCCATGAGCTTAATGTATCGTAAAAAGTCACACGCTTTATATATCATAAAAAATCGCGCGCTTAAGCCATTTCGCTCTATAAATCTCTTCGGAACAAATTAAATCACTGTTTTGAAAGTGATAATTGCGTCGCGCAATTTTACTAGCGAGGTTATTTCCTCTCATTGTCAGCCATGATCTTATTGATCCCGAAATTGAATCGGTTTAATTGACAAGGCTTAACCGAGAATAGATTGTCCGTGCGAAGACGCCCGTTGCGTCGGACTTTCGATTCGTTACGCGCGACAGGGAGCGGAAATCGCGAGGGGTGCGTTCCTTTTCAACGTCGTTCCCACTTTCTCCGCAAATAACTGTTTCCTTGAACATCACGAGTCATTCGACATGCATTCGTCTCCACGCGAAATCTCTCCGCGACGACCAATTAATAACAATTGTTAGAAACTCGTTTTGATGATTCGAGGGCGTCAGATAAAGATTAATTATTTAGAAATTGAGAAGAGATTACTAAGTAATAAAATCAGTAAATAAATTATTGATACTCTTAGAATCCGATAAAAGTCCAGGGAAACTGTAATTAAATATAGATCATTAAGCATTTATTTACAATAACTTAGTAGTTGATTGCATACAGTTAAAATACATATATGGCTTGCTGTTTGATCGATCTTGTTATTCCACACAAAACCTGGAAAACTGATAACGAAATATATCAGAAATAAGCTAAATCTAATTGCAGACATGGAATACATCCTTCGATTATTTAATATTCGTATGATCAATTGCAGTTGGTTATTAACTTATGTAACGCAGTATAAAAGAAAGTAAGGTATAATAAAATCGAGACAAGATTTCAGCAAATCCCAGCGGAGTCAATGAATCTATCAGGGAAGAGAGTGAAGAACAGTGGAATAGAAGAAACAAAGGGATAGGGTAAGAGAAAGGAAGAACGCATGGGGGCGGTTACAAAAATGTTCTTTGTTCATTAGGTATGGAAGAGCGTGGATCTCAATAGAAATTGAGACGAATCGCTTCTTCGTGAGCCGTCGCGAATCCCTCGCTCCCGGGGGTGGATGTTTGCGCTGCGAACGTTCATTTCGAAAGGAATCGACGAGAGGAAATCGACAACGGAGCAAGATAAATAACGTTTTCTCCATTGAGATCCGCAGGAATAAAAGAGGAAACGAAGAGGAGGAAAAGTAAGGTAAGGGGAGGCTTGCACCCTATAAAATCTGGGCTCGGTGAAGGTGTCGACATCACTCGCTATCACCTCGGTCCCGCGATAACATCCACTTGAAACAAGCGATGATCGGTTCCACCGCGTTTCCGGCATTCAATCGGCCCGCAACCCCAATCTGCCTGCTGCTAATCTGTCTGGCCTTTGTGCTCTCGTCCGCTTCCGGAGAGTACGGTACGTTCTACTGATTAACCAAGTTTTACTGATAAGTGCCAGGAGGGAACGCTTGTGAATCTTTCTAGTGCGATAACATCTGTGTCTCTAATAACGCTCTTTGTATGAGTTTTACCAAAAAAAATTCGGAGAAAATGTCAAGAATCGATTTTTTGTTTTTTATGTATAATTGTATAAAATGTACTGTATACTCCTGTTTCTAATTTTAAAATTTGCTCATATACAAAACTTTAGAAAATATTATCACTTATAGCACAAAACTAATTTTGCATTTTACTTTCATTACATGATACGTGTTATTAACTTATATGTTATTAACGCGACGAAACGTGAGGGTTTATTCAATTCAACGAATTGCTTCAGAGGGTAGAGAGTCAGGGAGCAGCGTGAGCAACGACAGGCCGCCAAACAATGAGTTCGGCTCGTGTACGGACGGCAAGTGCATCAAACGAACTTCACAAAGCATCACCAGCGGTATGTGGTTCGGCCCGCGGTTGGGTAGACGCCGAAGATCGGACCGGAAGACAGAGCTAGAGCTCGACTTCGAGGCGCTTGCCAACGCATTAGACGGATCTCACTGGGCCATTGTCACGATTCCAGGTATTGCTTTATGCATTTCTTTTTTTTGAACAGTTTAGTTTACTACATTACAGCCTTTACCCATTATCCTGATTTCACCGTCCGGTTAAAAAGGTATGTTAGCTGCATGCTGGTCGATATGATGCTCATTTTCTGCGACACTTTCTTTTAAAGTAAAGCTAAGATTCTTAAACGACTTACTGAATTCACTCTGCAGCAAACTATTTAAAACTGCCCGTATGAGGTAAGAAAAATAAAGAAATTCCACTCCATTTCATCCCCGTAAGGATGGAACTTCAGAAATTGGTTTTTAGTATAGTAAATATTGGTTTCTTATAAAGTGAGAATTGAGTACCAGAATCAATTTGATATTTCATCAGATTAAAGAGATAATGCACAATTTTCTTGTAAGAGTGTGAAAGAGGATGAAATTCTGAGTGAAAAATTTCTGTTTGACTTTCACCACCAGTCGCTATTCTGCCGTACAGAGAAACAGCCCCGCGCAAAATTCAGCCGTGCCTAAGACGTTAATAACGTTATTAAGAGAAAAAGTGGACCAACGTTTATTCACTCAGAATTTCGTCCTCTTTCATACCTTTAGAACATCCTGACTAATGTCCAACTCTTTCACGGTTCATTGGTTTATTTTACCACATAAAATATGTGTGTATGTGTATGTGTATGTGTGTGTCTGTGTATTGAATAAAATTCAATTTCAGGAACGGAGAAGCGGCAGCCAACACAATTCACACCCCGACTAGGCAGAGAGTCAGGTGAGGAATTATTCTCATACGGATTCCCGAAGGAGCAAGAGGAGTTTTATGTCGAGGAACAGACGTTTCCACCTTTGTTCGCGCCGCGTCTAGGGCGACGACTTGCCTGGACACCGTCTCCGCGACTCGGGCGTCAGTTACACAGTATCATCCTCGACAAACCTAGACAGAACCTCGACGATTCGCACTACTGACAATGAGACTGAGACTCGACATGTTTGAACGGACACTGGATAGCCAACGACACTAGTGTAATTAAGATCGTATCGAGAAAATAAACGACTTGTATTTATTTGTATTATAATTGACCGTGTTCAATACTCTCCTCTCGTTGTGCGCTTGTAACGATTAAATCAATTCCCTGTATACCTTTCGAATCTGAATCTAAATTTGACTCACTTCCCAATTTTAATGTAATAATTAGTACTTTACATATCGAGTACTTTCGTTTAATCCTGATACCCTTTTGTATTNATGTACTCGTGTAAAGAACAGCATTATCCGTCACACATTGCAGTGCCGTATCATTTACACGTAATTCGCGTTGAACTCTGCCGTACAGAGAAACAGCCCCGCGCAAAATTCAGCCGTGCCTAAGACGTTAATAACGTTATTAAGAGAAAAAGTGGACCAACGTTTATTCACTCAGAATTTCGTCCTCTTTCATACCTTTAGAACATCCTGACTAATGTCCAACTCTTTCACGGTTCATTGGTTTATTTTACCACATAAAATATGTGTGTATGTGTATGTGTATGTGTGTGTCTGTGTATTGAATAAAATTCAATTTCAGGAACGGAGAAGCGGCAGCCAACACAATTCACACCCCGACTAGGCAGAGAGTCAGGTGAGGAATTATTCTCATACGGATTCCCGAAGGAGCAAGAGGAGTTTTATGTCGAGGAACAGACGTTTCCACCTTTGTTCGCGCCGCGTCTAGGGCGACGACTTGCCTGGACACCGTCTCCGCGACTCGGGCGTCAGTTACACAGTATCATCCTCGACAAACCTAGACAGAACCTCGACGATTCGCACTACTGACAATGAGACTGAGACTCGACATGTTTGAACGGACACTGGATAGCCAACGACACTAGTGTAATTAAGATCGTATCGAGAAAATAAACGACTTGTATTTATTTGTATTATAATTGACCGTGTTCAATACTCTCCTCTCGTTGTGCGCTTGTAACGATTAAATCAATTCCCTGTATACCTTTCGAATCTGAATCTAAATTTGACTCACTTCCCAATTTTAATGTAATAATTAGTACTTTACATATCGAGTACTTTCGTTTAATCCTGATACCCTTTTGTATTTAAATTTTAATTTGTTAAAATATTTACATTAATTACAAAACAATCTATAAATATAACTAGTTGTCATACATATAGTACCTACATGCAGGTTTCTATGTGGGAATGCTTTTTCTTAGTAATGTTTTATCATAGATATTCCATATTTTTTTGAACAAACGAACTTACTAAAATAATACCATTCCGTTACAAATGAAACCGCTAAAACCAGTATCTATGAGAAAAGATAGAAATTATTTAAAGAGTCACTAGGATGTAATTATTAAACGGGGACCAGCGTTTTATTCCTGTCCACTACGAGTAATAAATGATTATTCGAGTAAGGAAGAGGGACGGAAGGTTAACTCGTATGTATTTGTTGGCTACGTTTTTCCTTGAAGCTTTTATGGTTACGAGCGGATTCTACGCGGCCACATGGCCCACAGTAGTTCCGCTCGAGGAATTACAAGCGTAGTTATGCTACCACCCCTTGCCCTCTTACCTCTTTCCCTCGCTTTCGGAACAAAATGTAACTCTAACTTTGTTGCATTCGTGGTTCTTCTCCTGGGATGAACGAAATAGTCCTATGTTCATTCTCTATCCTTTTCTCACTATCAGTCTTGGAAATTTTTAGATATCAAGAACTACCAGTTGAATCCAAGGGGCAAGAATTTGTTTCTCTAACAATTAATTATTTAAGCTAGTAAGTAGAAAGAATTTTCACAGTTTGGCAACTGGATTTAAAGTACTGTAAAAATTAAATCATTAAATTGTTATTAAGGAAAAGAGCTAGTCAATCATTACATATATAGTAAAAACATGACACAAATTGTTTGTTTTGCAGCTCGATTTTTTTGTCCTTTTTTTATTATGATTATAATTATCGTTATCATCAATTTACGCATTTACAAACTTCCTACGCGTACAGAATTCGGAGATCGTTCACGTTCGTTCCATCACTTTGTTACACTCTTACACGTCTCTAGGCAATGCGTTACGGCTACATTATTATGCAAATTTTATATATATATATATGTATATATATAATTTTTTTTTTTCGTTTTCTGCATTCATCACATACACGCGTCCCTTCCTCTCGGTATTTGTTTAACATAGTATTCGTTACGCTATGTGTTATGTATGTATATTGTATTTACATCGGTCGATAATTTTAATTTCGACAAAATTTCGAATGATCAGTCTATTTGTTATGGGAAAAAGATCGTAATTGTACGGCTCAGATCGTAAAAAACGGTTGGATAAACTCAGGCAAGTCCGTGATAATTTTAGAATACGTCTAAATTCTAATAAGCGTTTGTTCTTTGAAATGAATCATTTTATGATATGTCAGATATTTATACGCATAAACAAGTAATATGAATGTGAATTTTGTTAAAATAAATGTATTAAAAGAGTTATTTAATTGAAGAAAAAATGCGATGTTCATTTTATTGGTCTATCAAATAGAATTTAATGCGCTTGTTAAAATGCTTGTTGATGTAAAGATTTGTCTTTGATTGTTTAATTATTATAAAAAAAAAATTAATTCAATTTTAAATTAATTTAATATTATCTGCTTTTCTTATGTAAATTAGTTGTGACAATTAAAAATCGTATAAGAAATATCACGGATCAGTCCAAAATCAATCCTGATCTCTTGTCTACGTGCGTCTGATAGCTAAATCTGAAAAAATAAATCATTTTCATCTCAAACGGAAACTACAGTCGATCCATTTTCCACTCAACTTCACTATTTTTTAAATCTGGACAACGATAAAAGTACAACATCCTAGAAACATATTTCTACTTTTTAGTTTAATAGGATCAACGTTTTCTTAATTGGCTTCCGATTTTTTAACGTTCCAATTATCATTCTCGCTATCTGTTGAAGTAATTGTAAATAACTGAATATTATAGTAGTCCTCAAATATTTTTTGATCAGTTCCTTCCCATTTGAAGATATAAAATTTTTTTATAATCTAGGATGCTACTTTTTTCTAATCTTTATGTTCTATATTTAGATCTTCCAGTCGACTCTAATTATCATCGTCTCAACTATTAACTCGTGTAAAAATTGTTAAACATGCTCCTTTTTATATAATTTTTTCATTTTTTAAAGCTTTCCTTTTCAAGGATTGGGTCCATTCTAGAGCAACTAAATTAAGTTGTCAAGTGACAAATCAGTGGAAGTTGAAGAGCAAGAAGGTTTCAACTGTCTTTGAGATATAGTATCAAAGGGGATGGCGATTTTTCCAGGCAAATTTCAGTCAAAGGCACTATATAACGCACGAACAAAAATCTATTTTCTGCTTCGATTCGGTGACTCTCAACAATTTGAAATTTCGTAGAACCGTTATCATTTTTGAAGAAAAGTGTACCGTGTATCGTGATCACACTTCAAAAGTTAACTCTCAACTCTATAAGGCTACCCCAAAAAGAACCTATTTACATCGCTCCGATCGTCCAACCTTAAATCTAATATCATATCCTAATGTAAATTTTTTTAACTTTAGTAACTTCTTTCGTTCAATCGATTACAACTTAAACAAATAAAACGAACTTATAAGAAGAGAATAAAGAGCACAACAAACCTTAGAACATATCTGTACATTGTATTGTTGATACAATATCAAAACGATGAAACTACATATATTATTTTCTGATACTACATACTGATACTACATTTATTATTTTCTCTTCATATATCGTTATCTACCTTGGTTCCAGTTGCAATTTATAGCGCATACTATTTCTTTGAACTACTTGCTGATTTATACGTAATTGATACTCAAGTTTTCGCTTTCTCATTAATTTCTATTTTCCATAAACAAATTACACAATCGCAGTTTTGACATTGAATCAACGATTTGAGCTAAACAAATTTACAGCTCAAAAAAAAAAACAAAAAGAAAAGCAAAACGAAGCTGGTCGTGGATTAATCTTCGTTTCAAAAAAGGAAGTTCATTTTACATAGAAAACATTACTTTTTCGTTTCTCAAACCCGTTTTCTTCCATCGGGAACCGCCTACCCGTGTGAGCGTATCCTTTAACCGTAAGCCTTAAGGGTAATTAATATTTATCAGCGAGATACATATATGTATATAGAATATATACGTATGCATATAAGTAACAATATATGTATAAGGATGCGCGATTATGTATAATGCGTTTATTTTCTTTCATTCCTTTAAAACAGGACTTCCGGTAAAAAGTATTTACAATTACTCTATCGAATCGTCGTTTACTTAGGAAAAATCACTTTTCTCAAGATACAAAAGAGACATTGTTTCTCTTTATCGACCAATCTTGACCCCATTATACTACATCTTATCAAGTTGTGCATGACATTTTTGGTATTGGAAATTATCTGACACGTGACAGTACAAGGGAATGAAATTCAGATTCAATTATTACGGTTCTGTAAATTGAAAATTGAACGATAATCGAATCTTAACGAAACGTATCGTTTACTTAAGTTCCATTAAACCTATGATTTTTTTTATTGTGGCGACACGCACTTATCTCGTTTAGATTGAATCTACGTGTAAACCTACCGTCCGTCGACAATGGCGAAATAGATACCGCGAACACGTTTTTCTATGTACACTGATGATCAATCACACTTCTCTTCATGTTTTTCCCTGGCACCATTCTTTTTCTTTTTTCTTCACTCTATATTACTTTGTGCTTATCGATCTTCGTCCGTTCGAGGTTGATCTCTGATTTACAGGACTCTGTTTCACTTCCTCTCTTCTACGCATTGCATTCTGTCTTCTTTAGTGTTGTTGAATTGATATTCGCAGTTTCGCGTTTCATGATACTCATCGCTAGACGATGTTTTTTTACGCTAAAAAGATTATTTTGTAGGAATCAATTAAGGAATTGAGATAAAATGGTGATGAAACGCTACAATGTATTCTGATATGGATTAATTTTTAATGTATCAATTCATCTAGAAGATTAAATTAACGGAAAGTCATTCTAGCATCCTTAAAAAGATGCAGTTATAATATACATAAAAAGTGTAATTTTCGACGTTGTGAACCAAGTATGTTTTACAAAGAAATAAAATATCGCGTATTAACTGTTAGTTCGAACGGACATAGGAACTATGAAATGATCATCACTATTCAAAAAGCGGATATTTTCTTCTTGTAATTAGATCAAGTTTCTTAAGGATCTGGCTATAATTCAGTTAAATATACGACAAATGCTGGATAAAATATGTTATCAAATTGACACGGGTCTGTGATTAAAAATTGCAGATTTTGTATCTAGAGAACGTGGTACGATTCTGTGAAATTCAGACGGAAGACTGTCAGAGGAACAAATTCAGAGAATAAATTATAAGGAACATTTGAAATGAAACATTCCATGAAAATTCTTTATACAAAAATTATTTTCCTCTCTCGTTTTTCTTGGATCTTTCATCAAATTTTTGTGACCGAAATTAATTAATGCACTTTATAAGTTGAATTTTCTTCAGTGGTTTCTGGCTAACGACACTCGGACGAAGTTCGATGTAACTTCCACGTTAAACTTCAGGCACAATCACATTTCGCATTTTAAGGCCACTGAAAAAAAAATAAATCGTAGGAATTCGAACTACCTCATTATCGTACCTCTAAGTACATGGACGTTGTCGAGTTTTATTTAAACAATTGGATTTGTCAGCATTGAACTTACAAAAATAAAATCTGTTTTACAGAGAAAAAAACAAACATTAAATAGAAAAAAGAAATGTATAAAAATCTATGGGAAACTGTTCAACAAAATGAATTTCGATAATAATTTGAAACTCTTGAAACAGGAGAACAAATCTTCTTAATTCATCCAATTTAAAAAAAGAAGGAAAGAGTTTCAAACTGGTAGAAGTATCTGTTTAATAAACAAAAAAATATTGGACCTATGAAGAGATGAATGATTGAAATTTTGTTTGCAAGACACGAACAGAACGTGTGTTTAACAGGAAGTCACTTTCGTTACAAAAATTTCCACACTCGTTTACAGTTTTCGTTCGGTTATTATAATGCGATTCAATAAAGTACGATGCAGTTCGAAATTCTTATGTAAAATAAAAATGATCTCTCTTCAGCTCCGATCATTGTTCTCCTCTAATTCTCTTTGTGTAGAACAACGTTTCGATTCGGACAGTTGCGTGACTAGTACATTGAATAAAAAACAAAAGAACGGATTCTGAGTCTCCAGGCACTTGCGAATTTTATATCGTTTCCAATCCCTTCGCTGCGTACTATGAACTATCTGTTTTAAAACTGAAGTCGTGAGCAATTGGGAACGCTTCTGCTACAAGAATGAGCCAGCCATTCGAGTTTGAAAATAGCTTTATAGTGAATTAAATTCTTCAGTCTGTGCTTCCTATCGTTTTCTTAAATAACGTAACTGGTCTGATGCCTCGTGAGTGAACGGTGCAATCGTTTTTAGTTCGAAGAAGACCAATCTTGCTTATCCAGAAAATTTTAACTAGCCTAACTACACATTCCCTACGTAAATAGCTTAACTAGAATTTCTAATATAATCGTAAACCTCTGTTACTACTCCAATCAATCCAGTTCTTTCGTTGCATTATTAAAAATATCTCCTAGTATAGGCAATGCTTAAAAGTATAACTCCTTTCATCATCCGATTTGCCTTGAAAGTTTCTGTTCGATCAAGTGAAGCTTTTTATACATGTTCACTTTAAAGATAATCAACATTTTTCATATAGAAAAATCACAATTCTCGTTTCCAAGACTAATATCAATCATGTTCTTTACTTGTAGCGAGAGTATCCACTTTTTAATTGCTTAGTAATTTTTGTTGTCAAATAATTATTATAAAAAGTTTTCGCTTTTTGCTTTCATTTATTCGCCAAATAAGTTCGTAAAGAGTGGAATCATTCTGATCATTTATTAAACATGTACGTGTAATGTCGGTAAAAATATCAGTTTAAAATCATACAGTGCAACAACCAGAATTTAACCAATAAAACCTTCGAGCACTATATTTCAATCGTCATTGATGAAAAATAAAAGAACGCAGAGTAATGTGTAACTCATGACCGATGTTGTCCCAAGTGTCCCAAGTCCCTGTAGTCAATTTTTATAATTGTAAGTATTAACGAATTTAAATGCACCTTACGAAAAAAGAAGCGTAATAGATTTCTATTCTTGAAATATTACATTATGCACCGCATCTATCTATTCAGCTTTAAATTATCAATGTGGATCACAAAAATTAAAACACTTTATTATTATAATTTTCTAAAGAAACATTCGTCCAAATAATTTCTTTGAACTTCTGTCTACAATTAATGCGCAAATATTGCAAATTACAAAACGCTTGAGATATTTAAATAACATTTCTGGTACTTCAAGTTCCGTGATATTTAAAAGGACAAGAATTTTTACAATTTGCGACGAAGTTTGTGATAATTACTAAAATTGTTAACAATAATGGCTCGAACTTCATTTTACAGACAAAATTACTCCAATTAAAGAAAACATTACTTTGTACAAGGGAATCAATTATTAATGTGCACCATTATAAAAGAAATATTTTAATCATTTGAACACTGATGAAATATCTTCACCAAATATTTGAAATGGAGTTAATTTCTCGGTATTAATAAAGCACAAAGAAGTGTACTGATTCATAATTATAGAATAGGATGATTTTGTGATTTAACGCGCGTCAAACATTTCACTGAATCCGAGAATAGAAAAAAAAAAGAAGAAATATATATTTATAAAACTCGTGAATATATTAAAGATTGTCTAATCAACTGGAGTTTCCTACTAGTTCGTATCGTACAATTTGGTATATCATTTTTTTTACAGACGAACGAACAAAGTAAGGAAAAATATATTTTCGCCTGTAAAGAACAATGTAATATAGTCTTACACTTCGGAAATCTGTAAAATAATTCTCTCTTTGAATAAAAAACTAGCAAGTAATTTATCAATATTCTGTACCGTGCAACGTTATCGTGCCTGGATTCTCTGTTTGCTCGTTCACACCGTGGGCCATTCTATCGTATTCTCCCGCTACGAGGCATTAGCAAGAGCATCCTAATCGGACGAACGGAGTAGAATTCAATTCGAGTTTTAGTAAATTCCTGACACAAGCAGGAATTAATCATGTACGAACTACCTTAAAAACAGCTAGATGAACTGCTCTCAGGGACGAAGGATCTCCCATCTTCGCCTAAGTATGCTTCCTTCGGTATTCTTCCCTAACACGACACTCATTTCAGAGATCTGCCGATTGATTCATCGTTTTTTTATATACAGAGTGTTTTTTGTGCTCGTTCTGTTACACGCTCTACGGTACACCGCGTGTATCATTTGAAACAGGACGTTCCCTTCCGTTAGGACATATAGTATATTCCCATTTCAGGAGCGACGCACTAACACATTTTTGTTAAACGAAATCGAGCAAGTGCCACACGCACTTACCCTTATTATTTCACTTATGAGAGACCGGCGCGTTATCTATCTTGATCGTCACCATCTTCGTCTGCTCGGATTTTCCAGACGGCCTGCTGCCGCTCTGAGACTTTGTTTCCTGGTTCTTCGCACACGACCCGGAATTTAGTCTGCTTTGTGTTTGCTGTTGCTTACTCAAGTCGCGTTGACTGGTCGAGGAGATGAAAGTACTGTCATTACGTCTCCTGGAATGAGCCAGTCGTCCCGAGCCGAACGAACCGGCTCTGTTGCGAAACTGGGACAAATTCACTGAATCGCGCAACTTTTGCGCATTTGGATTGTTCTCGGAATTCGACGAGGTTGGCAGTGTTACTGTACTCGAGCCGCCCGACAGTCGGCGAACTCTGTTTGAGGGCGAAGCTTCCCCGTCGCCGGCGCTCTCAGACACACTTCTGTTTCTTCTCTTGGCAGTCTGAAAACGTGAGTTTGCGGCGGATCCTTTTAGCATCTCGTTTATCTGAGGCTGAAACAAACGATAAACTTTAATGAATAACTAAATTTGTATAGCAATTTCATAGGCTCATAGACATACAGGAATCGTTTACATACCTCGTCCACTCTGAAATCTTCGATGCTTTTGAACTTGGACAAGTACTCCTGCAACTTTTGATCCACTTGCAATTGATCCGAATGCTTGTAATACTTCAAGAATGCCCAGAACTTTTCTAATCCATATAGTTGACCTGAAACACAAAATATTATTAAAGATAGTCTCATTTATAAATTATAATGAGACAGTGGATTTTCATGCACAATTAATTGTTGATTGTGGCAACATTGTGAATTCGTAAAATGAAACGTAAACATTTATTTTACTTCAAAAATAATAATATGCATTTGTTTTATTATATGATATTCTATATCTCAGGATTTATATATCTCAGGACACCTTTTTTTATATATTTTCTACAAAAACTATTTTTCTACAAACTCATTCAATAAATAGGATGTGTCTGTTGCTACGCTAAATACCACACACAAGATGAAGTGATCTTGCGGTATCAATTGAACATTTCATTTGCTCTAGCACACTTTTACCACCTAGCTATAAAAAATTGTCATAGCTAAACAACCTATGTGTGCATGAAATTCACGTTTGTCAAAGATATTTGCTTACCGCTTTCGTAGTCTTGCATTGTCTCTACTTGGAAGTCTTTGTAAAGGTGATGTCTGAATCTCTTCTCCAAACCGTAGCTGTAGAATCTGAAAAGACATTCTAGGCCGTATCGATAACCCTCGGAAGCATCCTCTTTGGCAATAGTCCTGAACTCTTCGTACATAGTACGATTGAAGTTTTCTCGCAGGAAGAACGACCAAAAACGGAAGAGCGTGTTCATCTCCTGAGATTGGCCGATTCCAAGTCTCTTGCGTTCTAAAACAACGTTTAACACAATGCTTAAAATTTATATTACTTGAGTGAGTTACATTTCCTGTTAGTAGTTATTCTCAGATCCTCTTTTCTCATCAATGTTATCCCTCAGTCGGGAAAAGAAGACAAAATTAAAGAAATTCATCATTAAAAAGTCTTATGGTAAGAATTAAGGGAAAGTAAAAGTAAGATATTAATGTTTAAATTACCTTTCAAACAACGCGAATGATACTTGTGGTAGACTTGCTGCGTAAACCCATTTTCTTTTAAAAGAGCATGACTCGGATGTTGGAAGGTCGGTAAAGATTGTGGTGCACTTCCGTAACTACTCGCAAGGTGCCCTTCGTTTGGACTTGTTCCAGCGCTACTTCTATGATGCAAACCAACAAATATCAACAAGTATAAAAACCATTTTCTTGTAAAAATGAGCAAATCCTATATTTAATGTAAATTTACCCAGTAGAATATGTGCGTGGTCGATGTTCCCGAACGTCCATAATCCAACCAACATGATGTTCGACAGGAGGATTGTTGCTATGTCGCGTTTTCCTTTTCCGCGGAGTCCTGGGATCGACCGACGGTTCATCTTTTACTACCGCGAAGAATCGTGGAACTCCTCTCCTACCGCTTCTACTGCTTCTCGGTTTATCGTTCCATCGGTTTCTATCGACTCGACGATCTTTCCTGTCTTGACTATCTCCAGAAGTTGGTACCTGTGAATGATACGCATAATTAGTACAAACAAGATTAAATATTAATGAAATATTTGTATAGAATAAATAAAAAGGTACCTGTGTCGGAATTGAATGTGGTATTTCTACATCCTCTATTGCAGATGGCGGTGGGGGAGGAACTTCTGGATTGGCTTTCTTAGGCGCTTTAGGAGCCATTTTTTCAAAATCTTCTTGACTGATTACGTTAACGGTCTTGTAACTTCCGACCGACGACAAAGATCCATACTGTGAAGTAATAAAGCAACTTGAGTATACCGACAGTATTCTGGAAAATAGCTTGAACTTACCCTTTGACCATCCTTCGTCCATAAGTCTTCTTCATAATAGTACAATCCATCATTGATGGCTTGCTCGAGATCCTGGGTCATTTTTACTCTGGTTGTCCAATCACCGGTTCGATCGTAGCCTTCATGCTTCGGAATACGCGTCGATATGGGCGTCGTCGTTTGAGTGAAAATCAACAATTTGTTAACATCTCCGTCCGACAATTCATAATCTTCGTCATCCTCGGACCTGCGGCATATTCAAAATTAACTCAAACATATTATTAAACAAGATTCAGTGTAAATTAAGAAAAAACGAGAACAAACTGGAGATACAAACCATTCGGAGAAAGCATTGTGTCGACCAGTCGGAGGTGGTGTATCGAGCTCTTCGTCGAACTGAAAATCCAACTCCTCCCTTTCTTCACTCTTACAATTAGTGTTCTCAACTTTTTCCTTCTCCTCGGTCTTTTCTTTGTGCGACGATTTCACCCTTCGTCTTACCTATCATTTCCATAAACACAATTAATAAATTAATAATTAATAATAATTTGCTTTTGTATGCTATATGTATCTGGAACTTCGGTACATGTGGTAAAAATTATACCTCTTTCCAAACATCGTTGGCCAACTGCGTTTGTCCATTGACTTGCACTCCCGATATTGGACGTGGACCAAGAGGTGCGATCGCCGTGAACGTATTACCGTCAAGTTTCACAGATTCATTTCCCGAGTAGTCTCTCGATAATGTTGGAATGCTTATCACTTCCTCAGACTGCTTTTTTTCTTTCTTCCCGGTTTGCTTGTTACTATCATAGGACACAACAGGTTCGTTAGTTTTGTCGGTTAGTTCGTTCGGTATGAACTCCGGCACATCAGGATTTAAACTGTCGCCTATTGACGAAGATATGCTTTCCGATTCACTGACCCTTCCTATTGTCGGGATAATGTGGCTGGATTGAAGAACGCGCGGAACTGGGGGAATAGGAATCGTTGGTAAGGGTCTGGCCGCGGGGCAAAAATCGGATTCGGACGTTGTGGAGAGTATTACTTCGTTTTGCGATGAATTGTCAGACGTTTCCGAGAACACGAGATTCTCTGCCGTGTCTAAGATAGGCCACTTTAAGGGATCTATTTTCGTTCTGACCTGTAACAAACAAAAGAATAAATTCTTTAGAAAAAGAGAAACTGTTTTTCGAATTTCAAGTACTTTATCTCTAATAGTTATTAATAAAATTTAGTTGCTAAGAATGATGAGACGTACAAGGTGTGTTCACATTTTATGCATTTACCATAAGATGTGCTCATTGAATGGTTATATTCCTGTATCTTATCAACCCAAAATTGATTTTCTAGAACTGTATAATAAAATCTGTATAAAAAAAGGATAATTTTGAACAGTAATTCATATTGATTTACTTTATACAATGATTTCACACATTTTCTAAAGAATGGACATGTGAGGAGGTCTACTTTCAAACTCCATTCATTGGACTTAAAAAGCCCTAATGGTGTCAGCGAATCCTCTTCCATTTGTTCTAGCACTAATCTTCCATCCAATACATAGGAAATGTAGTTGGATTCAAATTGACTTGTGCAATTGTATACGACTGGCGATAAATGTATTACCTTAAATCTGTCCACTAGTTCCAATTTATCGGATTCCATGATCGCTTCGATAACGAGACCAACGTCTGTCGTTAACGTTTGTACACGATGGAAGGAAGCGATTAAAGTAATGGGCAAAAAGCCTTGTGCATCCATTTTGCGACGCATAAAAAAGTCTCTCAAAAGATTTTCTTCACTGAAGTAATATTCTCTGCAGAAGGGTAAAAAAGAACAAATTGAATATTCTGTTCATATAATTCTAGCTCTTTCATCATGTGCTGAACTTACATTTGATTTCTTAAAAACTCCTTGAGCGTCGTTGTGTCTACGTTAATGAAATTTGTGTTATTGAAGTAAAATGTTCCCATGTACGCCATCATATAACTAGGATCCAGAATACCGAATTTATGCATCTGGAAAAGCATTCATGTTGTAAAAAAACTGTTCAAAATAACTGAAGAATTTTCTTTTCAAGTATGTAACATCAGGTCTACTTTCATTGTTCATCAAGTAATATTCTGAGAGATTCCCATCAATCTTTCATCATTGTTATCCTCATTAATTTTATGTGCATGTACATGTACCACATGCTTTAACGTACAAAACTGAAAAGCTACCTGCATATAATCTTGGTCTTGCCTATGCCTGAAATTGCCACGATAAGCACCTCGACCACCTCTTCCACCCCTGCTCCTATAGCTTCGTCCACCGCGACCACCCCTCGTTATATACCCTGGCCTGTCGTGCTCCCTGTTTCTGTACGAATCTGTTTCTGCTGAAAAATAAAATTTCAACATTGAAGTCTATACATCATTTGAATAGTAATCAAATTAAGTTGTAGATCTTCCAAATCATAATTCAGAAGAATCATTACTAAACAGAAAAGTTTTTAATACCTTCTCCATTCTTCTCTCTTTGATTATGATATTTCGGAGAACGATCCCTTTTGCTTCGATTCTTCGTTATATCTATCTCCAGCGGTACCCACTTCTGCTTGTTCACTGTACGAATAAAAACAAATATATTAAAAGAAATGTGTATATGACGTTCGACCAATTATAAGAAAACAGTTGGGAGAGATGAAGCTTAGAAAAAGTTCATCGCACTATGCTTGGTTGGAACAAGAGAAACAAATCAGCCCCTTACCTTTCTTTTTCTTTTCACTGCCATCCATGTGTTCTTCGCTCTCGTCTTGACAATGGTTCTGCTCCTTGTTCTCCTTTCCTCTGTTTTCGATACCATTACCGCTATTCTCTTTACCACTCGGTTCAACCACACCGTTCTGTTTCTGAGCAGCCACGGCTGCCTTCTTCTAAACGAAAGTAGTCTTCTTTATTAAACAACATTTACAGGGAAGATTAATCGATAATTGTTCATCTTGTACGACTTTCTTTAAACAGACAATTGTTGGAATGTAAGATATACTTCGCAGATAACGGATACGCCCGCGACGAAGACACATTCTATTTTTCTTTAGCAAAAGATCTACGCTCGTAAATACATGGTGTAATTTACAAGTTCTAGCTTTTGCGAAGTTTTCTTCTGACAGATTTACATAACCTCAGATATAATTACGTACAATGCTGTAATCGTCAACTAGTAACAGTAGTACAATGACAACACGCTTTTTATAATAATTGTTTGTGACATATCGATGGATGTTCTTTCAATTATTCTACTTTGGAGAACAGTCAAAGAAGTACTAAAAAATTAAGTATCGAGAAAAACAAAAAACAAATTTAACTCACCTCTCCTGAGGCTTCCAAGGTTGGCCAGTCGCCGATATCCGAGAAGTCGCTCGCTTTTTTATTGAATTTTCTTCTATCCTTCGACGCTGTGACAATAGTCGGCTGATTTCCATCGCTGATACCGTTTTCTGTATAAAACAGCAAATAATATAATTATTATAATATTTCACATACTTAATGGTGAATTTTTCAATCAATCAACTTCATATCGCACTACTAGTCTTATCGTTTTACTTGTGATATCCACTCGGAACTCTGACCTCGATTATCTCGACACTACCAGTTTCATGAATTCTTTTATCGAAAATCGTGTGCCCTAAAGAAAGAACGCATTTTATCGACTTTTATTCTTTATACCTATTGTAGATACCTACGTTCAAAAAAAGACAAAACTCAAAAAACATTACTACATTGTACAATTTGCAATTTGTGTACGTCGCACAGTTGAACAAAATAGAAGCACCTATTTTCTTCTCGATAATATCCACAGCAGACAATTTAACACAAAATAATTGTAGAAGAATGCTACTGCACGAGAATACAGTGTTATGGTATGGCATCTCGTGGTGAAAGAAATAGAGACACCTATTTACGATTATCTATTTCGAATACCCATTTTCCTTAGCTCCGGTCGGAGGTGTTACGCAAGCGATACATGACGACGGCGTAGATTTGCTGCTCGTTGACCTCTTTTTCGGCTGAGCCGCCGATCTTTCGTTCGCTTCGAAAACACAAATCACCGCGAAAGCGAAAGTGAGCAAAGTAACCTACGGCGCGAATCGTCACCACTGCTTCTCGTGTTACAACAGGCCTTCCCTCTCGATGATTCTCGGGGACAAAAATCCGTACAGGATGATTAATTCCACGCGAAACGCCGCACGGTAATGCGATACAAACAAAAGTAACACGCGTCAGATGTATACAGTATCCGTTCCTTGCATAATGATACGTTAAAATAAACGTGACATTATTCTAGTCACTTGACACTGAAAAATCGTTAGGAGGAAAAAACTGGAACGAAAATTTGGAAAAACAATAACTATCTATGGATGTATGTCGATAGGAACTGTTGATAAAGAGTGATGGATAGTTTTTAATGTAGCTGTAGCGAATGGAATGATTGATGTTAGTAGCGTTAGTCACTCGGGGTTGACATTGCAATAGCAGTGTAACAAACGAAACAAACGGTGGTGAATGAGGCAATAAATCGTAGATTAATGCAAACGCGGGGAATTTCTTCTTTAATAATAATTTCTTAACACATGAGAATTAGTATCTCTGTTTGACTAGGAATCCTTTCATAAAAGTGTTAAATACGCTATCTCTCTTAACATTTTTCAATACTTTGCGTTTTCTGTGTACAAACGATTTCAAATAAATTCGCTGCCTATAATAATTATTATTAAAACGAATGACGTCAATAAAAAATCCAATAAATTGGTAAAATATCACTTTAGAGGTATATGAAGCAAGTTATTTATTTTTATTTTCGAAAGTATATAAGAAGAAAATCGTGCATAAAAAAGCATCCGCGCGCATGGCTTTTCCACTAAACGAGCTATCTTAAAACAACTAATTAAGAAACAAATTGTACAATTCATCTTGATGAGATAATAAAACTAATAACATCTAAACACCATTTTGATTCACGGATAATTTACACTGTTCAGATTAGTTAAAATTTTATTGGATCAATTGAAGTGAACTGTGCAAATTCGTCTTCGAAGAATCACCTTCTTGGCAGACTGATGCATGTGACGTGTCTTAATCTTGCGTCGCTGCCAAGTTTGCGTTCGACAGGTGTGTATTTCAGCGAAATAATTAGATACAGCATGTTAGTCCGAGCACGCGCTGTCAACAATTCGCTAGTCAGAAACAATAAACAGAATTGTTATACTAATACATATATAGATAATAAATAATCTATGTGCGAATCTCTTTTCCATAATTATCAAGTCATATGTATTCGCAGGATTATAAAATACGCGATCTAATAAAAGCACGAATTTATACAATACTGTTTGTTTATACGTGGCTGTTTGATTATCAAAAAAGTGTGCATCATAGTTCAAGAATGAATTTAGAAGAGTTAGAAGAGAGAAACTCACGTTGGAGCATATGCCTCCTATTTTTGTTGATCTTCATGGTGTGCAAGTACGGGCTCAATTCACACGCGGAACAATTTCGTTCTTGCCAGACTTCTCACTCGCATACGCAGAGGAGGCTATCATGAATCTTACATAACGTTAATGTAAACACGAACATGCAGGTAAACCGATACCTTTTGAGAACTGCGGGGAAAAAAAATCACATAACGCTGCGCACTCGACGAAACGTTACAATTGTATTTGCGCACTTAATGCAGTCGCGAACAACGGTCTCACTTCAGTCGTCACTTTTTTGCAGCAACAGGTGCACTCCACTCGTATCTCTTTCCACGCTGCACGTTTTCACAGCTTCGAGTGGGAAGACAGAAAGAATGCTTTTATAACAGGAATTTGATTAAAGTACAAGATAAAATTATGTACTGTCAATAAAGGTACTGATATGTATTCATATTTTAAAACAAAACGGTTCCTCATAAGAACTTGCTATCATCTGAAATGAAGGAGTTTACTGACGAACAGCGCGGTTAAATATTAACGAACGCGACAATTTTAAAACTTCGTTTTGACTTCGTTGTTCTCGCACGCGCCATAAAAGTGAAACCAGCACAAATAGAAGTTCGTGTGAATCTCTTGTCATATGCCGTCTTCAAACTTCCCGCACTCGCCATTCAAAGCAATGGACAATCACAGATAAAATGCGCAAACACAATTGACTGTTGATATTACTTAATGTCGAAACGCAAAACATTTTACTGCTTCGAAGATAGTAGACAGATGCACATTATCCTACTAAATATCTTTGCTATGCAAAGATTGTAAATAATATCCTTGATTTCTAATGGGCACTAGAGATGTTCTCTCTTCCAAGTATGTGACGAAAAGCACGTCTACCTTTATTCCACAGCTGCAGCTCGAGAGCCGAAAGGTGCACTGAGCGAGCAGGCGAAAAGGGAGAATCAAACAAGGCTCGTGGCGACCGAGCAGGGTAAATACTACCAATAGCTTCTCTTGCTTAGAACTTTCGACGTACAGGATGGAATTGCACAAATGCAATTTTCATCATGTTTTGACTTCGTGGCCCCCTTCTGTCAGCGCTTTGAGAAAGTTTGTTGGCAACGATGAGAAAAACAATTTTGCAATTGAACGATAACTACTTATGAAAAAAAATTGTGCACACAATTTGTGTCAACCCTGATTGAGATATCCTATCTAGGATTTGTTTGATCAATACCTAAGCACGAATTTAGTATCTTCATTTATAACTAATCTCTATCTAATTTTATCAAATGATAATATTTAAGTTGATAAGTGAAAAAATGATCGGTAACAGTATTGTGTGACATAATCTCTCTCTCTCTCCTCGTGAGGAAATAATAATTAAAATGAAATAAATGCTGCTTTTGATATGTCATGTGATACGCTTGAAACGAATTTTATTATAGTAAGATATCAAGCAGGGGAAGTTGATGGCAACTAATTTGGTTTATCTTGTTACATCGATATCTAGCCAGCGCGTTATATGTATATGTGTGTAATGTGTACACGCGTTGAACGGTTTCCGGTCAATTCAATACATAAATTTGTCGAAGGAACAAATAATGGGTTTCGTACAAGGAGACTGGCAGCGAATAAGGCACGAGAACGAAGAAAAACTTATTTGCCATGTAGATTAGCGTAACAAATCACACAACCGACATTAAAAAAACAAGCGTAAAATGAAATTGCTGAATGAAAGCGAATCGCTTAACGAGACTGTAAATTTAAATCAGTGGGCATAGTGCGCATTTTTTAGCATTAACTGTTCATTAAGGATGAACATTAATAAGTTTCAATATTCAATTACAAACAAAGAAAAGCACTTATTATATACCCATACTCGGATCGTCATTTTTAGCGTTTAAAACAGAACAAAATGATCTTCATATGTTTTGCAATCCCTATTATCGTTCGAAATACCTGTATCACGCATGGCATACATTGGCCTTTAAGATTCTACTTTTAACGAAGATAGAAGGCCTACAACTCAGAACAGGTTTCCCTCTCACTGCTCTCACTTTCTGCGACACATTTAAATGTATATCGAACACCGGAATAATGAGAAAATCAATGGCCATGCAATTTCACCTCCGTTCACTTTTGCAATTTTAATTGCGAAACATATTTCGGCCAACGATATGTATTATAATAAAACGAGGACCGATATGAGCAATGAAAAGAGGCGATTTGAAAGGTAGAAACGATCACATATTCCTTTAGCTCGAACGGAACAATCCGCGAAGTAAAACTAAAGTAGAAACTTCACGATTTACAGATTGCGCGCGATAACGCAAGACCGAAACTTTAATAAGCTTAAAATAATGGAATCGTGAAAGGTTTAGAATGTATTGAAAGCAAAATATATGATAACTATTTGATTTATTCAATAATAAGTTATTTAAGTAATGGTATACGCTGAACCAATCAAGCCGAACTGGGAAAATTCACCTACAAATACTAGAGTTAGTGAAATTCAAGAGTGAATCCCTGGATTACATAGAGGAACGTAATACACTTATGAGACTCCCCGCAATTACATCACGTGCTGCGACCCACTACCAACCGCCTAGGAAGAGTGTCAATGTCGTTGCCCTCGTCGTCTGCCATTTACTTGCGAATCGAATAATTCGTTCGATAATAATCGCAAATTGAATAACGTAATTTGATTCATTACAATCTATTCGAACTTATATATACATAGATTAACGAGATCATTACTCGAATCATAAAATGTGATTCCAAATTGTAATATTCACATTCATAATTAGATTTATGTATTTATAGAAAAATTGAATATGTTGAAAACATAAAAACTGCAAGAGATGCGTGCATATAAGCAAAATGTAAAAGAATAATAAAATCATATTCCAATCCCTAAGTGATAAAGGAAATGTCTATCTGAAATCCATTTTATTTAACTGACTTTCATGAATAAGAATCCGCAATCTATTCGTAATAAATAACACATTCGTGTTATTCGTACTTAGTATTATGTGGGTTTTGGATGCCCTACTTCCAAAAACGCTAATTACTATTAATTTTTAATAATTATTTAGACTATTAACGCAACATTCAAAGCATAGAAAGGGCTATTCTTTACGCGGAAAAGAAGGGGTTAAAAAAGGGAATTGGTTATGCAAATAAGGGAAGACTGCAAGCGACGCGTGCTGTGACCAGCGTTGAAATAATTTTTCCCTCACGGCTCGCTTCCCCTTTTTTTCGCCCGTATTTCACGCCCACTGCTATTCTCCTCATGCGCCTTCGCTGACTATGCCTAGCATACCCCCGTCAAGTACCAGTCCCCATCATGGTCGCGTCGTCCCCACTTTCCGGTCGAGGGAAAAATTATCTCAACGCTGGCTGTGACTCGACTGCCAACATAGTTGTTTTCCTTGCCACGTGTAAACGGGCACTAGTCAACGTTGTTCAGAATGTTCCGATAAAAGAGAATCGATTTTTCAAAATTCCCTATTTTATTAATTTCAATCTAAATTATATACGCGTCCGACTTGAAATTTTTTAAAACAACGTAATGAAAAAACAAACTTTGTAGATTGTTACACTATTAATGCAGACTAAACATCTTTTGAAACGATTTCTTTACGTTTTCACTCAGGTTATGAAGTTACACAGACTATTTAGTTCCATACACTGTTTCTAAGATTGCAGCAAACATTATACAATTGAACCCTTTTACTTCTGTTAACGAATTAAAAAAATTGCAATTGAAAATACAGATTATCTGTCCCTCTGTTTCGTTCTTTCATGTGCGATCAATTTATTTCAGTCTATTACACAGAATGAACCAATAGTGACCAATTATTTTTGCTCGATACACAGAGATCCACCAAGCTAAAAAAAACCCAAGTCATAATAGTCTGCTCTCGTATTTCGAATATCTTAACGAATATTTCATTTAATACAATTTGCACTTAGCTCCCAGGTGGTTTCTTTTTAATTCTACCTATTGAGAAACTCACGAATTACTCGTTAAAAAAGTAATTAAACACTTTCTGTTTCAATACAACTGGAATTAACATCAGAAACAAGTCTAATTTCGCGAACATTTGTGCTTCCGAGTTCCAGCAGCACAACCTTATGCAACAATCTACAACGTGGAACACTTGTCACGTATTTGCGATCAAGCGTATGTAATCATTTTTTTGAAAATAGTTACATATTTTTTTTAAGACAAAACTTTCGCAAGTACCTGACAAACACAATAATACATACAACAATACTGTCTTCATTTAGGATTACAGTATGATTAATTAAGGAAATCAACGAAAAATGATGTCTCCCATTAATTATTTTGATATTACTTAAAAAAATGACGCTCACCTAAAACAGTTTTCACTTATCCACATTAAAAATATAATGTACATTTTATTCGAGAGAATTAATAATATCCCTCAGTATGAGATCAAGTCCCTAAACTTATAATTTCTACAAAATTGCAAGAATTTTGTATAACATGCATTAACTTATTCAACTGTTATCAATCACAATCAGTTCTATATAATACTAATCGAGTAAGTAACTATGGATTCTTCCAAATATTCAATTCATATCAGGTGTACCTTTAAAGTAGATATATAGTTCTATAAATCAAAATTAGATAAATTTTTTTTCATAATAAGTAAGAAATATAAGGTAAATAAAACAATATAAATCAAATAAGCGAAGTATGATTTCAATAATGGTAATATAAAGGACGTGAGACATTATTTGAGAAAACAGTCAGAATTAAAAACAAACAATGTAAGGAAGCAAAATGAACCCTGAAATATGTATCAACACTTACCAATCACCTCTTGTTGCTGATGTGGCTGATATGGCTGCTGCTGCTGTTGCTGTTGTTGCTGTTGGTGCTGTTGGTGCTGTTGCTGCTGAGGTTGAAGTACTCTCTTTTCTTTTTCAGTCTGTTTATCAGCAGGTGTCACAGCTACTAGAGGCACAGCAGTGGCAGAATTTGTAGATAGGGTCTGTGGTATAATTTTACTTTTAGTCCAAGGATTAACCACTGGTAAAGGTGCTTCTACATATTTAACAGGTGGGACTGGGTGTTGAACTTCGGATTCTGCCTCAGATTCCTCCTTGTCTTTTGAAATATCTTTATTTCCCATCACATAGTCTCTTTCTTTAAAGGACCTCTCGTTGCTCCTAGTGTGGCCATGAAGAGGATGTCTGTGCTCTCTGTGTCTGTGTCGTTCTCTGAATTCCTTTTGCTGTTCTCTCAATTTTTCTTTCCTTCTAGCACTCTTCGGCGCCACAGTCTGAAACTCCCCATCACTTCCAACGTCACCATTCATCTGTTCAATTTCAACGTTGTTCTCTTGTTCCTGTTTAACCTGACCTTCTCTTTGCAAAACCGATTGACCTTGTTCAGTAGGACCTAATTCATTCTCGTAATATTTCTCCGATTTGATCTGCGCGTTAAATCTCCTCCCAGGTTTCTGGTAAAATTTCCCCTTACTAGTTAAACTCTGAGAATTGATACGATCCTTGACAGGCACTGATTGCTGTTGAACGACTTGACCACCGATATTCTCCTTGTTGTTGCCCTTGTTGGCAACCCGGGTCTCGCTGCCACTCTTCGGATTCAAGATACTTGCATAAGAGACCCCGGGGCCGTGCTGCCTTTCGGTACCTTCCTGAGTGCTGCTGGCCACTTTGGCCGCCATCTTGGATAATACGCGCCGAAAGACAAAACACGAGGTGCGAACACGAGGATACCTACGGCGGAAATACTTTTCCTGGATGTTGCTTCCTCTGAGGCGGTCCGGGCGTCCTAAGGAACCTCGATTACTTTGGGGCGCATCAATTTACCCGAGTGCGCTCGTAGCCTGTCGATATATTCGAGATGTTTCGCGTGTCGATACGTCTTTAAAGCACCAATCTAGGAACATTCTCCATGCTGTAGGCCGGACGCATGCCTCCTTCGAGTTCGTGCGATCGAGGCACGAACCTCGGCGAACAATTCGATTTTCACGTAAACCGCGAAAACAGAGCACTGTTCGATCTCTTTGTTAGCGAGAGAACGCCCACTCGAAACTCGTCACGAGGGATCGCCCTTTCCAGAAGGCGCGGCGTGCACGCACGCGGTCGTTAACGAGCACTCGATTACGATGTTTCCTCACGATTTCGCCGTCGCCGTTCGAATTCCCACCGAGAAACAAACGGATAATAACGTTTACGAGTACACGGTTCAGCGTAGTTATCGCGAACCGAACAATTTCCGTTGCGACACGAGGCAATAGGCTACGTGCGGTTAAGAACACGCTGACTCGGCGATTTCACAAGACGATCGAAAATCAGCCGGCATCAATTTTCTTCTCGCCGATGACGAATAATTAAATTAATAATTGGATCTACCTTGGCTCTGATCGTAGACGAAAAGCGTCGTGAACGGTTGTAAACGGGTGCTGTGGCGAATTGAGAAAAGGGGGGTCCAACAGATAAGCAGAGTAACACCTCGTTTTTGGTACAAGTAATTTTTCTTCTTCACGTTCCCTCTTTAGATTTTTCCCGACTTGCTTGTGCACGGGCTGAAAATTTAGTTCACAACGGCAGCGAGTTCGAGGAGCACTGTTTCAACGTCACGTTACCACGGATTACGTAAACACGGCATTTTCGGCGATCTTTTTCCACGGAAAAGCGGTCTGCAAAACACATGTGGCCAACGCTTGCTCCTGGCCTTTGCGCGAGCGGCTACGGAGTTTCCGGTTTAATCGATTCCATAGCCGGTCTGGCAGATGTCGCCACTGCACTTCCTATTTCAGCATACCCACCAAATTCAAACGTATTTTCTGTATACATTCTAAGCTGGGTACAGAATATGGTACAGACGTAAAGACAATTTGTACGCTATATCATTCACGCACGAATGCTCTAGTTTGTACGGGTATGTATACACGCTCAAACAGAGCACGCATGAACGTAATCCATTACTCGTCTGAACACAATTTGAATTTGGAAGTTCGAATATTCGTGCATGAATGACGTCCGTGCGCGCACAAATGCTCAAGCCTATACCAGGTCTAATACATCTAATAACACGTGCAACAATAATGAACAGATAAATGATGAATAATATAATTTCTTTTTTTTTACAAAGTATATTACAATTTGCTTGTTTCTCATAAAAATATATCCATCTTATGTAGGTACTTTCAACAGGGATATTGCATGCATTATGTATGTGCACATAAAGAACTGCACTTGTTTGCACACATAATTCTCTTTTGCCTGATTCAATTTGCAGTCAGTTAAAAAGACGGAGTAATAAAAATGGTAAAGTATCGAAAAACAGTTTAAATATAATTTTCCTCGACAGCATCACGAAATAGACGCATCAAGTTTGGCTCTAAAAATAACATCGGTAGAAATCCCGCTACGCCATTTTTTATCGATTTAGACCTCCACTAAAATTACACGTATATCATCTGATCTGCAAAGGATACTTCTTCTGTGATCGCTCAAATGCTTCCGCAATAGTAGATCTGAAAGAGAAGAATTATGAATATAAATCGACTCGTTTTCAAAATGTAGCTCTTGTTGCGGATATGTTCCATTTTCGTGTATGCACCTAAATACTTTCTGATGAAGAAGATACGCGGACACGTGGCCAGCATCTATATACCGAATCTCCGCACCTGGCCAGATTCTTTCCAAGCTCATACAACCGTCTCGTGGCACATATGCATCGTTCCTCGCGCATACAGCGATGATCAGTTCCGTGTCGACAGGTACTTCGAAATTTTTCAAATGCGTACATTCGTCCATTATACCGCACATGAATTGCAACGCTTCTCGTTCACGCCACTTACAATCAGAAAACAACGGATGTCTCGGAACTGGTAACAAACAAACACCTATTGCCAGAGCAATATGTGTAAGAATCATGCTTGTCCCATACCGTGCGTATTTAGTTAGTTGTTAGCACTTAAGACTGAGAAGACAAAAACATTTGTTTAGTAGATATGTAACGAGAAGCTGGCTTGTTAATAATCAATTGGTTTTTGGAGGAAGATAACGTTTCAAACTCAAAACCGTTTCACAAACAAAAAAATGTGTAAGATTTCTAAGTGTATAATATTATTACAAACTTCCTTGTACTCACCCTTGAGTGTATTTGAGTCTCTTAATTTAAATTTATTAGATAGAAGATTTAGAGGAAATATTCTTGCCGCTTTTTCTTCGGCGATTTCATTTTTAATAGTATTGTCTACGTTTCGTGAATCACAGTCATTGATCACAGTCTCAGAGGCAGTTATAGCATGTACTTCCTCGTTAGTACCGTCAGGCTTCTTTTTCAATTCAATAACCCTTTTCATACTCGCAGGATAATGTTGCGCAAAATGTTGTCCAGCTAAAAATGCATCCTAATAACAAACGAGGTAAGCATTCCTTCCATTCTCTGCCTTTATTTATTTTATATGCAACATACTTACTTCTTCACCGATGATTCTAACCATTTTGGCGAGATCATTTTGGTATAGTTCATTTGCAAAATATTGATCTTCTAGGAGTGTCCAGTTAATCGAAGCGCTCATCACTCCTTGAGTGAATACTGGTGATGCCGTCGACCACGAAAGGCATGGAACCAACGGTATCGGTTTCGGCCAACTGGTCGCTGCCAAAGAAGCCATCTAAAAAGAATTCGTTAATTAGTTACATAACATTGCCGAGGAACAATTTACTTTGCAGACGTTAGAGAAACCGTGAAATAATAATGAACTGTAAAAATACCCACATGACCACCCATTGACAAACCAGTCAATCCCAAAGGTCCGAACCCCTGCTGTTCACACCAATTTAGCAAAACAATTGACTCCATTATCAAACATCCTCCCATTATGAAAATATCGCAAACATTATGTAAACTAGAGCGTCTGTAAACAATATCAACGTAACAGAAATACATATTTATCCCAGTAAAAAACAAATCTTTACTATTACAAACCTTCCGAATTCAAGATCTTACATTTGATTCTGTGGTTTCCGTGAACCATAGAATGGATTCTCCAATAACAATGATCCTATTCCAGATTCCTTCAGCAGAGGCTTTGCTATCAGATTTCTTCTCCTCCAAAAAAACTAATGGTACATACGATTGATTAATTTAAGTAATTCATGATCGGATTAAATTAAACAATATAATTACATGATCTCCTGTGCCTGCTAAGTGCAAACAAATAGGTTTTACTTTGTGAGAATACCATCTTCTAGGTAATACTAATTGAAAATGTGCAGTTATTGTCTCATCAGGCATTATTCCAGGTAAGTGTTTGTTAAAGGGACTCTCAAAAGATCCTTCTATTATATGACAGTCAGACCACTCTTCATCCTGTTTACATAATCATAGCCAAATTACAAATGCATACCTTCCATTAGTTTCCAAAAAATTTTGAAGTACTTGTACTATACCTTAGTTATATTGATTGGATAATCACGAGGTATAAGGTTGTAACACGTATCTCTATTGGCAAGACGCCTTCTAAATTCAAAAATTCTGAAATATAACATCATTTATTTATGATACTTTTAGGGCATGTAACATCCTCAATTTCATTTAATGAGAAACAAAAAGTATATACTTTCGTTGAGATCATATTATACATTTAAGATATTGTTATTTCATGTAGCGTATTTATTTAAAAAAAAAATATGTATACAGAGTTCATTCATTCCACGTATGTATACTGAATTCATTTATAATTTTGATACCTGTCGAGCACAGGTAATAGGAACGTTCTCGAACACGACTAAGAATGATGCAGTCAATTTTTAACAAAGTCCGAACGTACCTTTTCAAGTTCTGAGGGCTTCCCCAACCTTTGGTAAAGAATTTAGTGAGCAATATACTTCTGTAAACGGCATCCAGACGGCTGCGTGGCATTGTAAATCGCTGGACCTCTCGTGAATTTGAAATGCCTCTTTTCACTGTTAACCGAAGAAATTTACGCGATATTAATAATCTCATTCAGGAACACTTTGCTTCAGCTCGAGAGTATTTAGATGATTCGCGCGAGAATTGTTAGCATGTCGCAATCCTTAATAAACTAATCTACGATGTCGACATTATTGCTGTGACTGGTCGCGGGACGGTCTGCTGCGGGACTGTTTTTATCGTAATCAGGCGATAGGAATGATCGAATCGGATGATGATGTCCCGCGAGTATATCGCACATCGACATCCGCTTCTCGCATCTTCGCCCGCGTCACAAATATAAGTAATCGCAATTTCGACGAATAAAGTTTCTTAAATATCGACCATTCGTAAGAGGACTGAAGAGGACGTTGTCGTCCCTCAGTGTTTTACGTGTTTACAAAACTAGATTAATCTCCAATCGAAATGTACTGATTTATAAGACTTCCTCAGGCATTCAAATTTTCGTTCCAAGTTTGTAAAAAACCATCGCACCATCTGTCGACGAGTTTTCTTCATAATTTCAGTAAACAGTACGTCATCGCAGATAGCCAATAATAGATGAAAACAAGAATAA